TTTTTCTCAACTTTTTTTGTATCAGTCGTTTATCTATCTACTTTCTTCTATACCTTTGCATTCAATCTTATTAATATATTTATATCTAGTATATCAATCCATTTTTAAGACACTTTCACATAATCCTTGTTCTTGTCTCATTATTTTGAATATTATTAGAATATTACACATTTTCTATATATTCTCGTTCACTCTGTTTACTCTGTATAAAGACGTTGTTATATAGAATATACAGGCACAAAAATGGGACCAATTGGGTCGTGCTTAGTGTTAGACATTTGTACAATTCCTTAAACAATCGGGGAGATTTATCAAAACCCAAAAAAGTGGTGAGCTGAAAAAGTGCGTCAATCACCGTGGAAACCAGTGAAATCAGCAGGTACTCCTCCCTATTTGGAAAATCCTACACTCAATACTGCTCTTACAAGGTCCAGCATTAGCCTTATGGTAGCCCCCAGGTCACGTGACCATGCAGCACAATCAGTTGCCAAGGGTGCTACCCATGTAATTATTACTACAGGGACCTCATTACTACACAGACCCAAATCATATAAATAGTAGCTGTGAAACATGTCAGGTCTTTAAAAATGTCAAGATCTAAAATTAGCTGCAAAGACACCTTGAAATTAGATTTTTATTACCTAATCTGCTATTGTCTGAAGGCAGATGTTTTTTTTGAATTTCTTAAGAGCAATTATTGTTCTTATTGTGAAAATCAATGTAGCAGTGAAACAATGCAATAGTTTTGACTGGTGAATATGCTACAGATGGTTTTTGACTGAGCTTTGCACTCTTAAATAAAATAAAGTTTGAAAGTAGGGAATTGGGGGCACACCCAGAACATGCACTTATCAGCCGTGGTGCCGCTGTAAAGAAAAAAATACAGATTAGGGAATAACACACACACACACACAAAAATACAGTATTAAAGGAACACTATAGGGTCAGGAACACACACATGTATTGCTGAACTTCTAGTGTTAATATCACTCGCCTCCCTAAATATGGTAAAATCTTACTTGTATTCAGGTCTGCTGCTGCCTCTGCCCCTGATCTACCTCCTTGGATGACATCATCAGAGGTGATTTTCTGAACCAATCACAATGTTTTCCCATAAGATTGGTTGGGAATGAAAAGGAGGCAGATCAGGGGCAGAGCCAGCATGATTCAAACACAGCCCTGGCCAATCATCATCTCCTCATAAAGATGAATTGAATCAATGCATCTCTGTGAGCAAAGTTAAGTGTCTCCATGCAGAGGGTGGAGACACTGAATGGCAGTGCTGAACTCTGTGCAGCACTGCCCCTGGAACCACCTCTTGTAGCCATCTGAGGAGTGGCCTGTGGAGTTATCACTAGGCTAGGCAGTGTTTACTGTACTGCAAAAAGCCTACATGGAATGATTATACTCACCAGAACAAATACAACAAGCTGTGGTTGTTCTGGTTTTTTTTCTATTTAAAATCGCCTATCTTAGCAAACAAATATGGGGATTCAGTTCCACCATATGGCCATATTATCCCCTTAAGGACACATAATGGAAGTGTTACTTATGATTATCTTTTATTTCTGAAGCTGTGTCCTTAAGGGGTCATGTTAAGCCCACCACTACATCACAGTATCCCAATATCAGTGGGCCTTATACTAAATTTAACATAGAAGATTAACATGCTAACTGCATTAGTAACAGCTTAAACTGCTTCAAGAGACACTCCTCAATTTATGCCTTTCTGTGGTCACCTCCAATAATCTTATATTGATCATGCACTATTAAAAATACTCTTCAGAGCTACAACAAGTTTAAATAAAAAATGGTGGGGGCAAATCTATAGCTGCCAAGATGTAGGCCTCCAAAATTCTCCTCAATGATGGTAGTCTTGCCAAAAATGAATTCTCTGTGATACGGGGTCATCATTGAAGGAGCCAATGCGATTGGCTGGGCTGGTCCAGCTGATCCTATTCATCCACACACTTCTTGCCAAATTTAGGGGCATTTTATTTTTAGAATTGCCTTTTTTAGTTGGTTGAAGATAGGAACATTGGGGCTTTTATAACAACAATAGATTAATGTAAGTACATGATAATGTAATTTTACAGGGGAAAGTAAATACCCTATAGCCTCATATAACTACAGACATTGGAAAATTAGAAGAGCTAATTTTTAATTGCATGGAGCTTTGTATAGGGAAACAAATGTTGTGCATATGGGCACTATTAGACACAGGATTTTAGGAATCCAGACATTTGGGAATTTTAGATTGTAAGCTCCTTTGGGCAGGGCCCTCTTAACCTACTGTTCCCATATGCCAAATATGTCAGTGTATCATCGGCTTTTTGTTTTCTATGGCACAGTTGGTTTTATTCCCTAAACTAAGAATTTTGGAAAATTGAAAATATTATTACAATCTCAGTCTAAAATAGTCGATCTAGATTCTCAAACTCAGCAATTTTTACAGTCTGGTTACTTTGCAATTACTTTCTTAATCCCCAGTAATTCACAGTTTAGTAAATAACAACTTAACATTTTAAGATGAAAGGTAAGGTTAGTGAACATTAAATAATAAATACAATCTTTGCTCTGTGTGATACATTATAAAGTGAGAAGAGGTTGCTTAGAGACTAGAAATCTTATCTTTTTTATTTCCTTTCTTTTAGTACACATAGTCTCCATCTTAAGAACAGTTGGTATCAGTAAAACCTGTAGGGACTTAGATCTGAACAGAATAGATCTACGAAAAACACAACATCTGTTCATATTCTACATGACTGGCTGCAGAGGCTAAATTTAGACAGGATATTGTTAAATGAAGAAAAGCGAAGAAAATTCTGTATTGCAGACTCGAAATGTAATGGTGAATGTTCCTCACACCTCTGGTTATCAATCAAGAAAATATAACTGGTTCGAAGCATTTTCTTAGAGTGTATCTCCTGGGAGTTAACCAGTGCTTTATTCAGCTTTAAGGATGCCAGCGTTTTGCAAGTAGAGATTTAGAGCTCTTTATTTTACTAAATCCCTTTTACTGGCAGCACTTAGGGCATTGTATTTATTTTCACTCTCATAGAAAAAAAATCCTTTAATGAATTCTTTCAACAGCCAAACGCTTTAATTATGGAGTTATTTGTTATAAATGAAAACAATGCAAGGATCTTATTCAGCAGTGAAAAGCTTCAACTCCTCATTACAGAGACGTAAAATCTTTTTACACTGAGAATTAAGAATGCCACGACATCATTAGCGGCCACTAGAAGCCCACACTTATTGTTCAACCATGGAGAACCGACACCTATTAAAGGGACACTCCACTGTTCAGATTTTAAAAAAAAATCCCAATGTAGTATATATACTTAAATAAAAACATTCATGTATTTAGATTATGCATTTTATTTTCACTGGGAGCATATTTAAAAACAGCTTGTAGTAGCTGCAGATATCTTGTCTGCAGCTTTTGCAAATCCTCCCCTTCTAACCCCACCCAGACTTTCTGTGACTGTCCAATCACAGACTTGCCAATGCAGTTCAATGAGACATATTTGCAAGGCAGCTGCTCTGGGCAATTGCTTCCTCTTGAGTGTATCTCCACTGAACTAACCAAACAAAGATGTTAAAGGACCTGGTGTCTGATTGACATCCAGGGGGGTGTAACAAGGTTCATTTATAAATGTACCAATTGAAATTTGTAAAATGATAAAAAGGACACACTCTTCACACAGCATCATCTGTCTGTCTAACTAACATTCTCAGTGGACTTGAGATAGTTTTCAGAACGATTTGCCATAAGGTTTTTAAATTGTTATCCCCTGCATTTTAATTACTTGAAAATGCAGGGGATAAGATAAGAAACAAAGCCACTATAGTGACAATTATTTTTAATTATACAAATTGAAACAATGTATTTATTATTCTGTCTAGTTCTGTTTTGGTGTTTTTTTCTGCATTGTTATGTAATTTCATTAAGACCTGTTAATGTTGCGCATTTAATAGTCTTTTAATCCTGAACACAAGCGTTAGAGACCTAGCGAGATATTGTTTGTTTTTGCCGTGACAGAGAAGTGGGTCAGGCCCCACGTGATGTTACTGTTTGATCCTGCCTTAACTCTTCTGTCACTGAGAGATATACATGCGCTCTCAGCAGTCACAAGGTGAATACGTCACTTTATGGGGAATATGTACGAAGCTGGGAGACATTTGAGAATAAAGGACAGCAATAAAAGCAGAACCTTAGGGAGGTTATAATACAAAGAGCCATTATTTTTGTAAAGAAGTCCACACTAGTGGATGCACAAAAGAATTGAAGTAAGTTAATATAAGTGGTGGTGTGGGATAGGCATAGCCAGGAGAGGAAGGGCATAAACAGTGTTGAGAGGGTGTAGAAGGGCACAGGCAGAGGTCAGATGCCATAGGTAAGGTGGTTAAGGGGCAAAGGCATAATGGGGAGGGCATAACATTGTGAAGGTAAGCCATGGGCAGTGTAGTGGAGAGACATGGGGAGGGACATAATCAGAGTTGGAGGGGTATATGCACGGTGGGGAAGGTGGAGATATAATTAATAACAGAGCATTGCTTGGACAAAAGTGAGTGAAATATTGGTAATGGCATCACCTGGCTCTTGGGAAATGAAGTATTAATCTACATTGTACCATTTTCAACACCATGAACATGGTTAAGCAGCATCCTACGCCTAATTTGATGAGAAATTAATTTTCATTATTGACCAAAATGCAGAAACCAACGTCATCTTTGAAATAATGTTACAGTATGCAGATCTTTTCCAGCACGCATAAAGGTTTTCTGGAATGTTCTGCAGAACAGTTTGCATGTTAATCATATCCCAGTGGCATAACATCTGAAATATCTGTCAGCACTCTTCAGAGGGAGCTGTTTATTACTCATTGTTTGTTATATATATATATATGAAACAGGGAGGGAGACTGCACTCACCTGAACAAGCATAAATGGGGTGCTGCTGGGGGCCAAATTATACAATACACAAAATCCAGCACACTCACCTATCCACTAAACAGCAACTTCAATGTTGACTGATTTTATTAGTTTATTTTTTATTTTTGATGGGGTACATTGATGTTGTGGCAGGCTTATACAATGTATGATCATATAATGTAACTAAACCCCCATTACTTTTGCCTAGATTAGGTGTTTAAAAAAAAAAAAAAAACTAATAAAATCGGTCAACATTGAAGTTGCTGTTTAGTGAATAGGTGAGTGCGCTGGATTTTGTGTATTGTGTGTGTGTGTGTGTGTGTGTATATATATATATATACCAAGTGTGCGTCTTAAAGGCATATGTGTTACTCCATGTCGGAAAACATGTGTAGGTTTAGAATATGTGAGTGTAAGACACGTGTGCAAGATTAATGCTTTGTGCAAAAAACACAGGCCGCTCGGTTGCATGATTAAATAAATAGCTGGGGCCAGATCAGGAGCGGGCCAGTTTCACACTTGGGAACCTAATGGTATTACTGGCATCTACTTTATATCCCAGAAGAGACTCACGATATAGTCATTTGTTGCTTCACAGTAAAAAGTTATTTAATATGTAAAACAAAAGATAAACCTCCATAAAGCCTGCAGAAACCAATTATCCGAAACATTAACTCAAATACGAGAGCAATATGGTGACAGAGCTCTGTGTCGTGGGGTAGGGAGTACTCTGATCTACGTGGCAGGAGATTTCTGCCCATTGACATTACTGTCTCTGCCTTCTTTCACAGCACCGGGTTCATACCATTCTGAACGCTGACATGGTCATAGTGATGAAGAGAGGTGCGATCATAGAATATGATAAGCCAGAGGTTCTACTGGAGCAAGAAAACAGCATGTTTGCATCTTACGTCCAAGCCGACAAATAATTACAAATAGAAAACCCATCGAAGTGCAATTTAGCAATCAACTAGTTTTTTTTAATAGTGTAAATAATGTGTAAATAAAAAAATCTTGATTGTTTCATATTAAAGATTTTTTGTGAAATTCTTTTTCTTTATTTTCTTATTGTGGCATATGTTAATATATGAATAGTATCTGATGGTTTTTCCTGATTTCAGTCAGAAAAAGTTGGAGATTTATCAACGTGTTCTGTTTGTAAAAGTACTAAAAGTGAGGCAATCGCTATGGAAACCAACGAAAATAGCTGGTACTCCATTGGTTATCAAAGGGCACACCCTGGATTATGTACATTTATTAAAAATAATTCTCATATTCTTTAAAAATTATATCACATGTTCAAGCCATATGCACTAGTATAAATTGGATGAGCTTCAAGGGTACGAATACTCATAGAGATATAGATACATTGATGGTGATCATTATTTAGAAGATCCTCAGAACTTTATGAATAACACAAGGGAAGAAGGTGAGTGGTGTAAAGGTCACACTGTCCCTTTAAGAGACCTAACTGCTTGGCATGCAGTGCTAGTGGTGGCTATTAATAGTTTATTGCATGTGGTCTCATGATGTGATGTTCCGGCTCTTGACATTTTTGTGTAACTGAAGATACCAGTAACCACACATTGCTCATCCCTCTGGCACTCACCGATGGACGTGATTGAGCAAGAAATATTTCATCCTATTATCGCAGCATTAATCGTGGAATAATGAATGGACATGTATAAGAAATGATGTGTGACGGTGAAGAGACTGGCCGTAAGGCAAATCATAGTTTGCTCCACTGACCCTTCAGAAATAGAATCCATTGTACCTTTTTAATTAACTCCTTCATGACAAGAGTTTATGTAAACCAATCAAATTATGGCATTCCTGACAAGTGGTGTGTCACAAATAGGTTCAATTCTGAAAACTCCCAGGGTCCGTGCTTAATTACATCACATTTCATCAGAGCATTAGTTGCTGCTAGAGAAATGGCAGGCGGCGTTCCAAGTCACATCATGTTTGGGGGTGGCAGTTATGGGAAACTTGGTGACCTCTGTTTAATACATTAGTCCACACCTAATTTTATTCAGTGAGACCAGATTTCACTGAGTCTTGAGTTACTGAACTTAATGGGAAGACAGAGTAGCTGGCAACTGGCACATATGTACAGACAGTTTAACCTCAGGAGTGCCAGGAACTGTCAAGGTTAGTTTTCATGTAAACTGTAAAAGTGATGATTTCAGTTTGCTTATATTATGAAGAAAATAAAAAATATATATATTTTAACCATGAAAAGCCCAACAGAATACACACACACACAATTGTGTCTGATATTTAAGTTCAAAAACCCCAAGTTTGTGTCACATTATATTACAATCAGTAGATAGTTTATTTTAGAGAGGGATACAACTCTTTATATTAACAGTCATAAAGGGGAAACTATCATCAAAAACAAAACAAGCTTTCAGTATAAATTGCTTTCCAGGACAGTCCTCCCTCAAGTCTAGTGTGAGCCGCCATGTTCCCTCCAGTGTGAGCTGCTGTGTTCTCCACCAGTGTAAGCTGACATGTTGCCTCTAGTGTGAGCAGCTGTATTCCCCCCAAGCAGCGGTGTTCCCTCAAGTATGAGCTGCTGTGTTCCCCTCAAGTGTGAGCCGCCGTGTTCCCCCCAGTGTGAGCTTCTGTGTTCCCCCCCAGTGTGAGCTGCTGTGTTCCCTCCAGTGTGAGCTGCTGTATTCCCTCCAGTGTGAGCTGCTGTGTTCCCTCCACTGTGAGTGGCACTGTTCCATCCAGTGTGAGCAGCTGTGTTCCCTAGTGACTGTGTTCCCTCCAGTGTGAGCTGCCGTGTTCCCTCCAGTTGAGCAGCCGTGTTCCATCCAGTGTGAGCTGCCATGTTCTCTCCAGTGTGAGCAGCCGTGTTCACTCCAGTGTGAGCTGACACATAGATACACACACTGGCACATAGTGGCACACAGATCCACACACCTTGACACAGATGCACACACCTTGACACACAGTATGTATCTGTGTGTGTGTGTGTGTGTGTGTGTGTGTATGTATGTGTGTGTATATCTGTGTTTGTATGTGCCGGTGTGTGTACTTGTGTTTGTATGTGCCAGTGTATGTGTGTGTGTATCTGTGTGTCAGTGTGTATGTATCTGACACACATATACACACACACTGAAACATAATGGCACACAGATACACACACCTTGACACACTGTGTGTGTGTATCTGTGTGTCAATGTGTGTGTATCTGTGTTTGTATGTGCCAGTGTGTATCTGTGTGTGTATGTATCTGATACACAGATACACACACACTGGCACATAGTGGCACACAGATACACACACTGACGCACAGATACATACACATTGACACACAGTGTGTATCTGTGTGTGTGTGTCTGTGTATCTGTGTGTCGAGGTGTGTGTATCAAAGTGTGTGTAGCTGTGTTTGTATGTGCCGGTGTGTGGATCTGTGTGTCAGTGTGTATCTGTGTGTGTGTGTGTATGTATCTGACACATAGATACACACACACTGGAACACACTGACACACAGATACACACACTGACAGATACACACACACAAACACACTGGCACATACACACTGGCACACACACAGACACTGGCACACATATATACACACACACAGTGACACATACACACAAACTGGCACATACACACACAGACTCACACACACTGGCAGATACACACACTGACACAGGTACACACACACATGTTTATATGTTTAACTTACCTTTTTTCTTCCTTCAGTGCTGCAGGCTCCTGGCTGAGGATGGTGTGCCAGGGAGCTGCTCACTCCCCGCTACGCTCCCTCTCCCTTCAGCCGCGCACTCTGTCTGGGAGGAAGTGCTGACACTTTCTCCCAGCATCCCATACCACAGGGGTCCAGTCGCAGTATTAGATGCCAGCGGCACCTGACCGGACCTCTGTTTCGAGATTCCCATTGGGTGGCCCTAAATACTTGGGCCACCCAACAGGCAAATCGCCACGGAAACCCAATTTTGTTCCGACGGAACCCTTAACACTAATTGGGAAACGCTTCTTAGAGGAAAACACTGATCCTCCCTCACTGACAAGAGACAGGTTGGAGGGGAGAATAAAACCTATTAATCTTTTACACTAAAGGCTATGTGCATTATAAGTCAGCAAAGCTGCATCTATTAATACATACAACGTATTAAAAGTTGTTCAGAAGCTGTAGCAGCTCAGTCAGGGGAGAGGAGGTGAATTATTTATTACATGAGCATTGAGCAGGAGTTTAATAATTACACCTGGATATCTCTTTGTCCGTGGGTCAATGGGCAGAGTCTCCGGGTCGCACAATCTAGAATTACCTCTCTATTGTGAACACCTTTCACTCAGCACTGACCCTGTAATTGGCGCTTGTCTTAGAGCTGTGTAACAAGGGAACAAGTCTGGGAAATTTCAAATAAGTAACCCTCAGACCTTTAAATATTAAATCCATATGTTCTCTGTAATTGCATTCTATGGAATCAGATACCTTCCTGACACTTGCAATGGTTAATTAAAGATTTTTGAAATGTTAGAAGGTAGACTTTCAAATATCAGCTCCTGGATTTGCCCACACAAGGGATATTTCACATCATTTTAAATTACTGGAAGCCACATTTGGTAAATGTTTAAGTAAAACATTTTGAGCACATAGTGCTGTCAAGGACATATTTAAAACCAAGTAGAATTATTTATTAAAGGATAACTGAAGAAAAAACAGGTTTTGGTTAGAGTCCCCAACTAGAGATTTAAAAAAAGGAATAAATAAATAAACAAATAAATAAATAAGTAAATAAATGAATAAGTAAATAATAAACACAGCTAAAACTTACTTTGATTCCAGCTCCTAGATAGGTTCTTCCTGCAGCCCAGTTCTCCAATGCTGACATATTCACTCTTGCTGGAGGGGGGACAGATGTCAGGGAGGGCATGCTGAGGTGAGGATTTGGGGGGCACGGAGAAGGGGCATGTTGCCATTGGCTGCTGGCATCAGATGCCAAATTTGTAAGAATTCACATTCGCCACCCGGTACTCTTGTTCTGGGCTGGCTAATGACACCCCAATGATGCTGGAGTTACAGCTTTGACAGCAGATTAATTAATCTCAATATTTGCAATGTTTCACATACAGACTCCAGGCACCATCACCAATTCAAATCACTGAAATAGTCATGGAGCTTGGAGTAACTCGTTAAGTAATCATGTGCAGAACGATTAAAGAAACACTTCAAGCACCACAATCACTGCAACATACTATAGTGGTTGTGTTGCCAGGAGAGCCCTTGAGTCGTTTATTATGCCTTGTTTCCACTGAGCAGAACGGCTCAGGTCGGTACAGTTTGGAAGGGTTAGAATGGCCCAGCCTATTCAGGTGAGCGTTTCCACTGCAAGTCGGACCGCCAGGGGCCATGCGGGATTTAGACCAAATGCCTCGCGTGTCATTTGTCATGAGTACTGACGTTTTCATGTCCGCCAATCAATGGATTTTATAGTGTGCTCTGCCCTAACCGTACCGTACCATTTCATATGGACCTTCATCTGAAGGGGGACCAGGAATGGTTCAGTTTGGTTGTATGGGCCACTTTCATAATGGAAACACTCAAAATAGCATATCGTACCAAAACAACCTGAACCGTTCCGCTCAGTGGAAACGAGGCATTATATTTCAACAACTTTCTTGGGTCCCACTGGATGCCTCTAGCCACATCCACTGTATCCATTCTTCCCCAGTCGGAGAATCCAGTTAGCTCCATGGGCAAAAGCAGGGGCATGCAGGACCATGCTTAATGGATAAATATGTAAATATTTCAAAATTATACTTTTCTGAACATAAATACAATAATAGAAAATATGCAGTTGTGTTTTGGATTGCAAATTTCGAAAAGTGCCTCCCTGTATACCACAATGGTCCTGTACAGGAATATTGGTCATTTAAAAGAAAGTAAATGGTAGAAGAATTTTAATAAAAGTTACCATTGTCATTAAACCAGGTTTTTGGAGAATAGGACTTAGGATATTCTGTACGACAAGGGGAAGTAGATTTGCTGCCCAGTGACCCTTAAATTCTTACGGATAGAATGTCCACACAGTTGCTTACGCACATGTCTTTATTCTGAAATGCCACCTGTATCAGACATTGCTGACCCCTCTGGTCACTTCTCCTATTCATTGTCTTTGATTGCCTGAAGCAGATTATCCAAAGAGAATGGCAAAAGGTTATTGAGAAGATATACTTAATAAAGATGTTTGGGTCTTTGATGATATCATCTGATGGAATTGAAAGGATTATGGTAGAAAATGTTGTAGCCTTTTACTGAATAAACATGGCAATATCTTTGAGGATGTGAAAGAAAATCTATTATTTCTCCTGAGCTGCTTTGAGTCCTGTTATATAATGAGTCTATTGTTGAGTTCAACTCACTAAGTGGAGACTTGATATCGGAGAAATTATACAGGATTCCTTAAATATCTTACCTGAAGTCAAAGGGCTTCAGTAATGATTCAACATTGATTAAATTAATTGTAATTTTGTTGTTGTTATAAAATATTTATTTTGTGTATTTCTGTGCAGGAGGCTTAAGGCGTTTTGCAGAATTCACTATTTTCACATTTAAGGTGTGATTCTCATTGTGAATTTTAACAGAAAAACAAGCAATGAAACTACTTTTTTTCTATATAAACTCAGTGTTAGTTGTATAGGACTGAACTCTCTGCATCCAATGATAAGGGTGACCTTGTGAATGCTATCATCTCAAATATTGATCCTAAATGTCAGGCAAGAGTTTGGTATCCATTAATAATTGAGAGGCATCCTCGTTATTCTCAGAAAAGACATCTGGTGATAATTTAGTGCACAGAGCAGGTAAGGGCTTAATGAGTCAAATAATGAAATAATGTATCTTCTCTGTGATTTATTCACTATACAGGGAGTTGTGGATAATAGTAAATGTTATGCCAAAGGAGCTATAGTGAATAAAATTCAGCTCCGATGTTTTTTCCTTTAAATGGACTACGGGGTTAGGAAACCATCGGCACTCCAGATGTTGAGGACTACATTCATCTCCCCTGATGCTTTGCCAGCATTATGGATGCTAGAGCAGTATTGGAGATGTAATCTACAAAATCTGGAGTGCCGAAGTACCGAGTGCCCAGTGCTATTCTTTTATCACTTTGTCCCATTTCGATATTAGCAAATTAAATCTCTCTGTATTTAGGTGAAAGAAATTCTGACTGATCCGACTGAAACATACTTGTCGTACCCTTGGTCAGCCAGGAAGTAATCCTATGGACCAGTCCATGGTGCAGAACATGAGGTCATGGGCCACCAGCACAAACCCACTCAGCGCTGGGCTAGCAAAGACCATTTACATAATATATGCCTCATTCACGCTGGACTACACCAACAGACTACTGTTATTTTAATATACAGATAATGAGGTGTAGTGGTTATGGTGCCACAAGTCCCCTGGTGCCATTCCAAAGTAAGTAGTCAAACTTTTTTTCTAATTATAGAATACTTACCTGGATCCCCAGGTTGCACCCGTTGTGATATTCCCATTGTACAGCACTACGGAATCTGATGGCGCTATATAAATAATAAAATAAAAATATTGCAGAAGCTTCTATTTCTGAATTAGTGATGTAAAATCCACCTATGTTTGTATGGAATCCACTGGGTGGAAGCGTCAGACTGATGCGGTCAACCAATTAATGCTGCCCGAAAAGGGACAAAATTGATATAAATTTGATGGAAATGGACAAGGCCAGGAGGACTCCTGGCACCATAACCACTTTAGCACACAGAAAACATTTTATTAAAAATGTCAGGTTGCTATAGTTTCCTTTGAAGTTGCTGTGAGTTAAAGTTTCCATGGTGACCTGCTTTTAGAGTAATTTGTCTATTTACTGCACAGACCAGTTATGCTGGCTTGTTAATATGCTTTTATGTGACAGTATCTCGCGGTATCTCCTCCTCTAAAGAAAATTCTACACACAGTAAAAATAAAACACATGGTGTTAACATGCTCCCATAAATTTACATGTGTGATATTTATAATAAATGTATGAAGCAGGGGGTGTGATAAGGGTTTGTTTACCCTTAGGTGTTACAATATATTGAGTGCGTCGAACTGACGTAACATCCTTTCATTAAATAATTGAAGCAGCGACAGGAGGAAAATGTAAAGTAATATCTTTAACTGTTCTAAGTATTCAATTAATCTGAGTCTCAGCTAGTGGAACGACTCAGTAATATCAGCCCTCATGTCTGGGTACTACCAATCTTCATATTGGCAGAGCATGATGGGAAATTATTAGTATTTATATGGCGCCAGCATTTTCCACAGCGATATGAGATTTTCAAACATTTGGGCAGCTTTAACATTAAAACTCTCACCACTCTTAGCCATGCAAAGAATATCTGAGAGTCATGGGAGTTGCAGGCGAAACCAGACCACAATCCTATAGCTGTGGAATTACAGCTTCCAGACTCACTCACTGACTGCACTGTGGTTGTGTTCACCTTCCCAACCCCAAGCTATTATAGGGCACAGTATTCAGTAAGATCCAGCCTTTAACCAGCTGTGCCTTTCACTCAGTCTGGGCCTCTCTCTGTTTTCATACCTCCTCACACTGGAATGAAGCAGTATGGGGTGGGGGTGTGTGACCTGAAAAACAGTATTTTAGCAATGTGCAAGTACAGTGCACTGACACATACTATCCAACCAGGACTGCACAAACTAAGAGCACCTATACATGTGCAGTGCCATACAGAAACTATAAGACATAACCACAGTGATCCAGAAGCTATTACACATAACCAGAGCCATCCAGAAACTATAACACATAACCAGAGCCATCCAGAAACTATTACGCATAACCAGAGCCATCCAGAAACTATTACACATAACCAGAGCAATCCAGAAACTATAACACATAACCACAGTGATCCAGAAGCTATTACACATAACCAGAGCAATCCAGAAACTATAACACATAACCAGAGCCATCCAGAAACTATTACACATAACCAGAGCCATCAAGAAACTATTACACATAACCAGAGCCATCCAGAAACTATTACACATAACCAGAGCCATCCAGAAACTATAACACATAACCAGAGCCATCAAGAAACAATAACACATAACCAGAGCCATCCAGAAACTATAACACATAACCAGAGCCATCCAGAAACTATAACACATAACCAGAGCCATCCAGAAACTATTACACATAACCAGAGCCATCAAGAAACTATTACACATAACCAGAGCCATCCAGAAACTATAACGTATAACTAGAGCCGACCAGAAGCTATTACACATAACCAGAGCCATCCAGAAACTATAACTCATAACTAGAGCCATCCAGAAACTATTACACATAACCACAGTGATCCAGAAGCTATTACACATAACCAGAGCCATCCAGAAACTATAACACATAACCAGAGCCATCCAGAAACTATTATGCATAACCAGAGCCGTTCAGAAACAATTACACATAACCAGAGCTGACCAGAAACTATAACACATAACCAGAGCTATCCAGAAACTATAACACATAACCAGAGCTATCCAGAAACTATAACACATAACCAGAGCCATCCAGAAACTATTACACATAACCAGAGCCATCCAGAAACAATTACACATAACCAGAGCCATCCAGAAACTATTACACATAACCAGAGCCATCCAGAAACAATTACACATAACCAGAGCAATCCAGAAACTATAACACATAACCAGAGCCATCCAGAAACTATAACACATAACCAGAGCAATCCAGAAACTATTACGCATAACCAGAGCCGTCCAGAAACAATTACACATAACCAGAGCCATCCAGAAACTATTACGCATAACCAGAGCCATCCAGAAACTATTACACATAACCAGAGCCATCCAGAAACTATTACACATAACCAGAGCCATCAAGAAACTATTAAACATAACCAGAGCCATCCAGAAACTATTACACATAACCGGAGCCATCCAGAAACTATTAAGCATTACCAGAGCCATCAACAAACAATTACACATAACCAGAGCCATCCAGAAACTATTACGCATAACCAGAGCCATCCAGAAACTATTACACATAACCAGAGCCATCCAGAAACAATTACACATAACCAGAGCCATCCAGAAACAATTACACATAACCAGAGCCATCCAGAAACTATTACACATAACCAGAGCCATCCAGAAACAATTACACATAACCAGAGCAATCCAGAAACTATAACACATAACCAGAGCCATCCAGAAACTATAACACATAACCAGAGCAATCCAGAAACTATTACGCATAACCAGAGCCGTCCAGAAACAATTACACATAACCAGAGCCATCCAGAAACTATTACGCATAACCAGAGCCATCCAGAAACTATTACACATAACCAGAGCCATCCAGAAACTATTACACATAACCAGAGCCATCAAGAAACTATTAAACATAACCAGAGCCATCCAGAAACTATTACACATAACCGGAGCCATCCAGAAACTATTAAGCATTACCAGAGCCATCAACAAACAATTACACATAACCAGAGCCATCCAGAAACTATTACGCATAACCAGAGCCATCCAGAAACTATTACACATAACCAGAGCTGTCCAGAAAAAATTACACATAACCAGAGCGATCCAGAAACTATTACGCATAACCAGAGCCATCCAGAAACTATTACGCATAACCAGAGCCATCCAGAAACTATTACGCATAACCAGAGCCATCAAGAAACTATTACACATAACCAGAGCCATCCAGAAACTATTACGCATAACCAGAGCCATCCAGAAACTATTACGCATAACCAGAGCCATCCAGAAACTATAACACATAACCAGAGCCATCCAGAAACTATTACTCATAACCAGAGCCATCAAGAAACAATAACACATAACCAGAGCCATCCAGAACCTATTACACATAACTAGAGCCATCCAGAAACTATAACACATAACAAGAGCCATCCAGAAACTATTACGCATAACCAGAGCCATCCAGAAAGTATAACACATAACCAGAGCCATCCAGAAACTATTACACATAACCAGAGCCATCCAGAAACTATAACACATAACCAGAGCCATCCAGAAACTATTACGCATAACCAGAGCCATCCAGAAACTATTACACATAACCAGAACCATCCAGAAACTATTACGCATAACCAGAGCCATCCAGAAACTATGAAGCATAACCAGAGCCATCAAGAAACAATTATACATAACCAGAACCATCCAGAAACTATTACACATAACCAGAGCCATCCAGAAACTATTACGCATAACCAGAGCCGTCCAGAAACTATTACACATAACCAGAGCCATCAAGAAACTATAATACATAACCAGAGCCATCCAGAAACTATAACACATAACCACAGTGATCCAGAAGCTATTACACATAACCATAGCCATCCAGAAACTATAACTCATAACTAGAGCCATCCAGAAACTATTACACATAACCAGTGATCCAGAATCTATCACATTTATCCAGAGTGATCCAGAATCTATTACACATTATCAAAGTGATACAAAATCTATTAAATTTATCCAGATTGATCCAGACATTTTTAAAGTGACCATTAACTATTACACATATTCAGAGCCATCCAGAAACTATTACCCATATTCACAGATCCAAAAGCTATTATCGATGGACACACAAACATATAATAACAATACATTATTATGCAATACTGTTAATCATAATGCATTAATCAATACATGTGTAGAATCATTAATTGTAATAGTAATTATTATTATTATACGTATTATTATTTATAAAACAATTCACAAGTAAAAAAAAAACTAATAAAATGGTAAAAGGCCTGTCTAATATCTCAGTGTGATCAAATAATAAGGTGAAAAGGTTTGTATTTGTGATGATGGAGAGCACCCCATCCCCCCTGCAACCTAAACACTCCGCTCCCCTTTGTCTATAAAAGGCAGGCAGATTGCTGGAGCTAAGGCGCCCTCTGGAGGCAGTGCTGGGCGCTGCACTTTGTAGATCTTGCTGCTAGCCGGAGTGCTTGCTCTCCCTGCCGCATCGCTCTCCCCTGCTTCCCGCACCTTGGGAAACGGTGTGACCCGCAGACCGGACAGGACCCTCCTGGGGAGATGGTAAGTGTGTGTGTGGGGGTCATTTCTGATCCTGGAGCCTGGCCGCGCCGTACAAGGTGACCCCCCTCCCCCTGGCTGTGGCTGATTGGCGTGGGCAGATGGAGCTGACTGCAAGGTCTGCACTCAGCCGGGTATCAGATACACAGACCTCAGCATCATCCTCAGACCTCGGCCACACACAGCCAAACTTGGGCTCCTGGAGGTAGATCCTGCACCCACACCTACCTTCAGCTCCCTCTCCTCTGCAGAGCTGAGCTGCTGGCTGGAGTACACTTACCCTAGTATGGGAGAGCCATGTTATCCAGGAAGGGGTTAATTCCTGAGGAGTATGTACTTACCACCCGCCTGGTAGAGGAGAGTGAACCCAAGTACCAAGCCAAGAAGAGAAGGGCTAGGTTTGTAGCCAAGAATGGGACCTGCAATGTGGCTCACAAGAACATCAGGGAGCAAGGACGCTTCTTGTTGGATGTCTTCACCACTGTGGTGGATCTTAAATGGCACTACACCCTCCTCATCTTCACCATGTCCTTCCTCTGCACATGGCTTCTGTTTGGCATGATGTGGTGGCTGATTGCCTTTGCCCATGGGGACTTGGATGTGACTGATGAAGGGTTTGTACCATGTGTGACCAGCGTCCAGTCATTTACAGCAGCCTTTTTATTCTCCATTGAAGTGCAGGTAACCATTGGGTTTGGTGGGAGAATGATCACTGAAGAATGTCCCATGGCCATCTTGGTTCTGATTATCCAGAACATTGTAGGGTTGGTTATTAATGCCATCATGTTGGGTTGCATCTTCATGAAGACTGCACAAGCCCACAGAAGGGCAGAGACCCTGATTTTTAGTAAACATGCAGTGATAGCTCTAAGGAATGGCAAACTTTGCTTTATGTTTAGAGTTGGGGACTTGAGGAAAAGTATGATCATTAGTGCCACCATCCACATGCAAGTGGTGAGGAAGTCCAGCAGCCTAGAGGGAGAGGTCCTTCCTCTAACCCAAATAGACATTCAAATGGAAAATCCGGTGAACACAAATGGCATATTTTTGGTTTCTCCACTTATTATATGCCACACCATTAATAAAGAAAGCCCACTATACGATATATCATCGCATGATCTCAACCACCATGAAGATCTGGAGATAATTGTTATACTGGAAGGAGTGGTGGAAACTACAGGTATCACAACCCAAGCAAGAACTTCTTATCTGGCAGATGAAATCCTCTGGGGTGAACGATTTGTCCCCATAGTAGCGGAAGAAGATGGCAGGTATTCAGTTGACTACTCCAAATTTGGAAACACAGTCAAAGTGCCAACACCTAACTGCACAGCTAGACAACTAGAAGAGGACCATCGAAATATTGACCCGCATTCTTTTTCGCCAAGGAATACAATTCGAAAAAGGAATGTGACAATGAAATTAAAACCAAAATTCACCTTGTTTGATGAGCCTTCCTGACCTCTGAAAATATTCTCTAAAGTCATGCCACTTGATTAGTTCCATGCCACCAGTCCTTTAGGTGGGCAAAGAGGATATATGCAGTACTGGTGACACCTCTGCTGACGTAGGGCTGAAACCTTTGAAATATTTATGCATTATTTAAAACAATATCTGACTTGCACTTAAAGTTATAAATGTTAGATTATTTTTAATATCGCTTATTTTGTAATCATCCAACTATCCACATTTAAATAATGTTACAGTGGTTATAAACACTCCTCCCTCCCCACCCCCCCAAATCTACTGTTCTCAAAATCCCACTGTAAGTATTATTTGCAATAATTGATGTGTAACACCCCATCTTTCAATATTGCATGTCTGAAGACTTAGTGCAGCTTTTGGGAGATTGGCAACTGCCACCTGATGGTAGGACTTAAATTCAGAAAAGGTTATTCAGTGTTTTCAGGGACACGTCATCACCAACTAGTAGACCAGCCTTATGCTCTGTGCATGTTTGTTTGTTTTTTAAAATATATTTCTGGAGCTAAATGATTGATATACATAATGAATTGCACCAAATAAACGGTGGCCTTTAAATAACAAATTATAATTTTATTTATTGCATATACTTGGTATGGCCCATGAGGTGGGATGATTGTGGAGTGGGGGCAATTTTTACAACTGCTCAAGTGTATTAGTTCTTTTGTCTGTAATCACTCATGCAGGAAACGTAAAACAAATATTGGTGGGATTGTACAGAGAAATGGAATATAAGCTCTTAAGATCCCATGTATTGGTTTGATCATGTTTTTTTAAAATTAATGTATTTATGATTTATGTATTTAGTGGTTTTTGGCACTATATAAATTAATAATATGTACCAAGATACGCTGCAAAGTCTTTTATGAATAGGCGTATACGTCCTGTAATCTTTCCTGTTTTCAGAATATATGAAGCATTTTAATTAAATAGTATGGATTGGGAGCATGTGCATTGTGACATCCGAGGGATATTGAGGGGTTATAACCGTAGGACAGGCGCTAGCACATGTGGTCCCTATTCTGAGCTGGAACATTTTACATTAATTGATAAACCAGGTGCTGTAAAACGCTCTGTGGCTAAAGTTCCACCTCTCACAAAATTAATCTTTATTTAGTCTGTTTACTAAATTCTCAATGGAATAGGTTTATATTGCAAAATATGGACTGCATTAGCCAAGCTGTGACGGTAACTGATATGGAGACATTTTTTAAACCTAAATCATGCTAATTGCATTTCAGTTTGCTACTCCTTCCTATTAAACTAACAGTCTTATTTGCTAAAGTGAGAATTTAAAGTGAAATCAAATTTTAGGCAAAAGTAGCTGAAATGAAGATATTCTCCAAGTCAGCTATGATGTCATTTTGGCTACTCTGGTCTTACATCTTAAATTCACTTTGAATTCACTTGAAATTCTCACCTTAGTAAATAACACTGCTAGTTCACAGTCCTCATATTCACAGATGCCTAAATTCTCTGCAATCTTGAATTTAGCCAGGGGCTAACTCCATACGGCACTCCAGATGTTGTGGCCTACACCTCCTTTGATGCTTTGCCAGCTTATTGTTATGTAACTCTTAAAATTCTGTTATGTATCGCTCCAGCATGTTAAAGGGACACTATAGTCACCAAAACGACTGTAGCTTAAAGGGACACTATAGTAACCTGAACAACTTTAGCTTAATGAAGCAGTTTTGGTGTATAGAACATGCCCCTGCAGCCTCACTGCTCAATCCTCTGCCATTTAGGAGTTAAATCCCTTTGTTTATGAACCCTAGTCACACCTCCCTGCATGTGACTTGCACAGCCTTCCATAAACACTTCCTGTAAAGAGAGCCCTATTTAGGCTTTCTTTATTGCAAGTTCTGTTTAATTAAGATTTTCTTATCCCCTGCTATGTTAATAGCTTGCTAGACCCTGCAAGAGCCTCCTGTATGTGATTAAAGTTCAATTTAGAGATTGAGATACAATTATTTAAGGTAAATTAAATCTGTTTGAAAGTGAAACCAGTTTTTTTTTCCATGCAGGCTCTGTCAATCATAGCCAGGGGAGGTGTGGCTAGGGCTGCATAAACAGAAACAAAGTGATTTAACTCCTAAATGACAGTGAATTGAGCAGTGAAATTGCAGGGGAATGATCTATACACTAAAACTGCTTTATTTAGCTAAAGTAATTTAGGTGACTATAGTGTTCCTTTAATGAAGCACTTTAGGTGTATAGATCATGTACCTGCAGTCCCACTGCTCAATTATCTGACATTCAGACGTTAAATCACTTTTGTTTCTGTTTTTACAGTTCTAGCCACACCTCCCCTGGCTCTGAATGACACAGTCTGCATGGAAACAAAGTGGTTTAATTAGCAATCAGATATTAACTTGTTTTAGAGGTTGATACCTCCTGCTCTATAAATTGAACTTATTAAGTGACAGGAGGTTCCTGCAAGGTCTAGCAGTCTATTAACAAAGCAGAAGTTAGATATTCTAAAGTAAACATAATGTGCAATAAAGAAAGTGTGAACATTAGATGACTCTTTACATGAAGTGTTTAGGAAGGCTGTCTAGGTCACATGCATGGAGGTGTGACTAGGGCTATGTAAATAAAGTCATTTAACTCCTAAATGGCAGATAATTGAGCAGTAAGACTGCAGGAGCATGATCTATACACCAAATCTACTTTTTTTAAATTGCTTTGGTGACTATAGTGTCACGTTAAATATCCACATAGAGCAGGATTTGCTATCCCTGCTGAAAAAGAGGTATATATTTATTTATTTATAAAATATTATACCAGGAAGGATACATTGAGGGTTATTTACTAAAGTAAGAATTCAAAGTGAATTTCAAATTTAAAGGAACACTATAGGGTCAGGAACACAAACATGTATTTCTGACCCTATTGTGTTAAAACCACCATCTAGCCCCCCTGGTCCCTCTTTAACTCCCTAAATATAGTAAAATCTTATTTCTTTTCAAGTCTGTGGCTGCTGGCTCTGCCATTGTTTGCCTCTGACCTGCCCCTGTCTGCTGACATCAGCAGAAGTGGTGGTCTGAGTCAATCGCAATGCTTCCCCATAGGATTGGCTGAGACTGTCAAGGAGGCAGATCAGGAGCAGAGCCAGCACAAGTCAAACACAACCCTGGCCAATCAGCATCTCCTCATAGAAATGAATTGAATCTATGCATCTCTATGAGGAAAGCTCAGTGTCTACATGAAGAGGGTGGAGACACTGAATGGCAGTGCTGCTTACGCTGCAGCACTGCCCAAGGAAACACCTCTAGCAGCCATCTGAGGAGTAGCCAGTGAAGTTATAATTAGGCTGTGATGTAAACACTGCATTTTCTCTGAAAATACAGTGTTTACTGCAAAAAGCCTGAAGGTAATGACTCTACTCACCAGAACAAATACAATAAGCTGTAATATTATTGCTGTGGATCTCTGTTATACACTGAGACACACCAACAATATGGAGCTCTTAGAAAAGAGGGACAGAGAAATTTGGGCCCAAAATAGGCACTGCTCCTCCTAAATAGGGGCACTTGGGTGGTATGTTATAGTGAACTAAAAACCAGATTGTAAAATTCAGGTTCAAATAGCCAAGCTGTGGCTATCACTGAGCATGTTTTCAAGCTATTGTTTTGCCTAGATTTTGCAATTAATTTTTTTCATTTACTACAATTCCTTTATGCCTTTTATATATTGCACCACGCGTTAGTTGAATTGCCAACATTATATAAAACAAAACATAGTCATAATGCTAAAATTGAATTGAATTAAAAAGATAATTATAAGATTGAAATGTCACTACACATGCAATATGTATGATATCATAGCTTTTATAACACCTTTATATTTTTCTGCCTGTTTTTCTCCTGTAAGTTATTTACATGAATACTAACCGGATGTACGCACATTTTTATGTTGGACTGTCACTTTTTGTATAATGTTGATATTTTTTTTTTTTTTTTTTGTTAATCAGGTTTTTATTAGCAATTAGGTACGATAAATGTCAGGGCTCGCAGGCCCACATCAGTCAAACAGTGAAGGTAGCATTTTTGAAGTATAACATATATACGTACATATGCAGGGATGTTCCCTGTTCCAATATATAACCAATGATAGAGTACAATTCTGTTTAATTTCTAAAGCGTGAATTGAAAAATATTATCGTCACAATATATCCTAGAGTCAGGGGCTTCCATATAGAGCTAGAGCTACGTGGGTATGGTAGCGCTCATATGTGCTCTAAGGATGCGATTCCTTGATTGGGGTGAAGCCAGAGTAATTGTCAATGAATGTATGTTGTGTGTTCCGGTGTGAAGGATAATATCCTAACTAGTGGTCATGTGTAGGAGTGTGTGGTGTCTGTCTGATACGAGATCCATAATGCAGGGATATGGGGAGCAGTGAGAAGAGGTCCGTACGTACCCAGGGCTTAGTGTAGTCAGTCTACCCCCTTGTAATCCATCTGCAACCGATAGTGACCCTGTCCATATGGCAATCAAGTTGTTTCTATAGAGATAGGCTTGTTTGGTCGGATGTGCGAGATTTGCATCCTTTTCCCGTGTGTTAGAGCTCATCCGGGTTGGGCGCGGTAGTTATTAACCTAGTTGAGGTTCTTGCTAGTTATCATGTTGTCGTGTTGCGGCATATCATGATGAGGTCAGCCGTAAGGGCCCTTGCTTGGGTCTGTGTAGGTGCGGAGTATGTGTTTTCTAGGGTTCATCAGGAGAGGTATAGTGTCGTGGTGTATGTGTGTGTTGCTATATCTCGGGGCTGCTGCACACGTCCATTAATCTGATTGTCAGCATTGTCTTATAGAGGTGATATGCGTGCCATGTCCAGATGTGCATAAGATGCCCCCCCTTGTGGTTCTGTGGGGATATGGGTCACGCCCTAAGAGGTCCCCTTTTGACCTATGGAGTTACTGCGGGTCAGGGTAATTCGTCGTATCGGATGAGATCTCATGTTCGTATTGAAGTGGTGGGGATGTGTTTATCCCCCAAACGTTGTGGATAGAGTGTGAGGTGTATCGGTTGAATCTGCGATCGTCAGGTGATCAATACAGAGTGTGGTTCATGTCGTATGGGTCTAGTGAGCTCCATATCATCTCCCTGCCCCAGTCCCCCCCCCGGAACCCCCTAAGGTTGCGAGCGGTATGTATACCATGGTGCCCAGGCGTATAATGTTGATATTTAACTTTAATCATCACCATAACCACTGAAGTCCCGAACCTCCCTTAACATGTTTGAAAGCTGTGTCTCATTTTTCCATGATGCCCTGAAAGACAGTATACCAAGCAGCTGTGCATCCGACGCAGATTCCAATATAAAAATAGAAATACAAATGTATTTTAAAACGTATAAACATAACTAATAGCTGAATGTTAGTTATGTGACAATGTTGAATGACAATTAATCTGTAACAAACATATGTGTTGATACATGGTAGAAGCCTAATAGATTTTGTTCTAGCTCTTCAAAGTTTAACACTATGACTCTAACATAATAGTAATGACTACGAATATGGAGATTAGGAGTGTTTGTTCACAATCCACTAGAGGTGCTTATGTATTCAGCAGTGCTCCATCCCTCAGTTCTCACAGCCTAACATTGCCATCCAAGGTAGGGAGATCGTATAGAAATAAAGAAGTTAACGCGTTTCTCCAACCTCCATGACCACTTTGGCCTTTTTGAAGTGGTGGCCAAAGTGGTCATGGAGGTTGGAGAAACCCATTAACTTCTTTATTTCTATACGATCTCCCTACCTTGGATGGCAATGTTAGGCTGTTAGAACTGAGGGATGGAGCACTGCTGAATACATCAGAACCTCTAGTTGATTTGCAGTGTTGTGTGTTAGGAGCTAGATACATTAGGACTAATGTCAATTCTGTGCATATTTTACATCCGTCATCAGCGCGCACTGCATAAGAAGAGTCTGCAAGGGGAAGATATTGTCTCTTCTCCCTCCTCCCTATCCCCTCCATAATATTTTTTAATGCCCCCCCTCCTCCTTCATTCCCTCCCTCTCCCCCTCCCTTTGCTAGCCCTTTACACACACATGTGCTGGTAAAATTGGACCTTGGTGCGGCTCCCATGACGTTAGACGGGGGTGTGCTGAGCAGTGATGGGGAGCTTCACCTAGAGCTGGGTTAAGGTAAGTAAACTTTATTTTATGTAGCAGGGAACCTATAGAATAATGCCAACATTATTAAATTCTACTTGAATTGAGAAAGGGTGGAGAAATCTTTTAAACTTATAAATGATTTAGGTGGATGAAGATTATTGATGCTGGGAGAAACCCAGTTTTATCTCAAAGACTCGGCAGTGGTTTAACAAATGAAACGGGGTGGGGGCACCCAAAAACCTGTTAGGCGCATATACACTGTTGTTCAGTAAAGTGAGAATTCAAAGTGAGCTTTAACAGTCAAGACAAAATAGCCAAACAGGAAACATTCTCTAAGTCTGCTATGCTTCCAATTTAGCTACTTTGGTCTTAAATTTGAAATTCACTTTGAATTCTCATGTCAGTGAAAAGCACTGATAGTGTTCTTTTCATTTGACAATACTACTGTGTGTACAAGCTGAGATATAAAGCATTTTCAGCAGATGGAAATCGACTCTTAACTTATTATTATTATTATTATTATTATTATTTAATTTTTTTAAGAAATCCAGGAAATAAACTTGTTTCTGACTTTGTGGCACTTGTTTTGGTCCAAATTAATTCCCAGGAGTTACACGTTCTCTATCAGGACACTTGTGGTTTTATGTGGCTGCTTTACTCCGTTAACATAAAATTACATTATATCACCTTTAGCTACCTCGAAATCTACAAAAAAAAAGCTAAGAAAACATGTTTTTACAACTTGAGTTGCCTCCGATTGCATGAGATTTAGTTGCTGTTAGATGGATGTGTTCATAAAATATGTTCAAAACAACTGATTTTTTTATTTTTTATTTTTTTGTTTATGGTTTATTAAATAATATATATTTTATTTTGTGTTGATAAGTCTGGTTTAAGTATGATCCATTGCTCCCCTCTCCGTTCCTCTGATGCTTTTGCCAAGACATGTTGTTAAATTCATTACTGTAATTTCATTGTGTCATTATTAAATTCACCAGCTCACTTGCAGCCACTAAAATGTGCGTATGAAAAGCTAGTGATTACTAGTCTTCCTAATTACATTTCCTTAAAAACGTCTGTTTGTGCATTCCTGGATTATGTATCCAGAGGATTTGATTTCAGTAGCAATGTTTCTGCAGGGAGCAAACGTGTGACCCTGGTGGTCAGGAAGCGCTCGGAAAATCTGCAGACACAGCTGCGGCTGATTACAAGGCAGACTGCTCTCTCGCTCCCAAGCAAATGGACCACCAATTGATCCCTCTTTAAAAGGGAAATAGAGTATCAGCGATCTCTAACCTTAGCACAGCAGATGTTTATGATCTATAGTTCTCATGATGCTAGGTCAGCTTAAAGCCATCTATGTGTTTCACCTAAGTGATTTGCCTTGATGTGGCAGGTGATCTTACACTCAAATGGCCTTTGGAGTGATACTAAAAACCCTCCAGTTATTCCAATGTGCACAGGGATTTGGGATATTGCGCAAGTAACTTTTTCTTTGATTTTCAGTGTATACATTGTGGCTGATATGTACAATAGTAATCATTGCTACCACCCAGGAGAAGTGGGAGTTTGAGTGCAAAGTTTAATTCTGTTTCTATCTCTGTGTTTGAACGAGGTGGCCCAAATGTGTCTCTCAAGCTAAGATTTCCATGATGCATTTCTCGCCATAAAAGTCCTCACTACCTGTGAAAGGCTCCCTTATAGATTTCTATGAGAGAACCTATGCAGACGCTTTGCATAGCCCTGAACGAGAGTATCTCTATTTATGAACAAAATAAATGGATCTACAAGGCACCTTCTATTAGTTTGAGCAATGGCTCCATTCAAGCCTCACATATCTCACAAACATCTAGTGGTGGCAGTTTATGGGATATCTTCATTGGTTACATTAAGAGCAATAAATGGAAGCTACGATCGGCTGAGAGCTATCAGTCACTTGGCCTGGGGAGAGCTCACAGCAGTCAATACAGGAACCTCAAAATTTTCATTTTGTTCCCCCTTGGCAGCAAATTTAACAAGCCTCGGTGTACAGTCAGCCAATCACAATGCAGGAGAAACTTTGAGGATTCTTGATTCTTTAGGGAATGGGTCATTGTAGAAACTAGGGACCCTAGACCCCAATTATTAGCGTTTACAGATCTCTAGGTGACCAACATACATTTTCTGGTGTGTGACATTGTAATCAATATTATTATTGAGAGTTTGTTCCCTGTTCCAGCACCAACCACTGCCCAGCATACTATGGAAAGAATAGTGAAGTCATATAGCTCGTATCCTATGCTGAGTGTACATTATATCTGAGCAGATAAGCTCAATAGGTTTCCAGGAGTCACTGAACACCCAGACATTGATTTCCAATGAGGATCATGTGCACTGAGCTAATTACATCATGCATTCGATTTAGGACACAAACCACAAATCTCTATATGTACAATGGAAGAATCAAACTTTATTTAAAGAAAAAACAGAACACAACAACACTCAGGCAATGCATTATAAGCATATTTGGATAGCTAAAACCTTGATTTTATTCATCTTTGAGGAAAAACTGATAGGAATCTATTCACTAAGGATTGAATAAAAAGTAGCCCCTTATGTAACAGCTCTGGGCAATAGCAGCCCAGCAACTCTCTGATATAGAGATTCATTGTCTTAGCCAAGCAGCTTTACTTACTGTATGTGACTTGTGTCTGCACACAGAAATAGGTAACATTCTGCTCACATTTTGGAGGTATGCTTTCACAAGTATACCCATAGATTTCTCAGAAATATCAATGACTTGTATATTTCAGTTTTTATACAGGTTTTTTTTTATTTTTTTATTAATTATGTTCTAAAATTATAATTGCTTTTGAGGCTCTATAATGGGGTAGGAAACCTTTGGCACTCCAGATGTTGTGGACTACATCTCCCATAATGCCCTTACAGATGGCAAAGCATCAGTTCACAACATCCAGTGTGCCAAATGTTGTGATTACCTCTTCTCTAGAATTACATCTTCTTGATTACCTCTGCTCTAGAACATGTTTTTATATATATATATATATATATATATATATATATATATATATATACATATAGTTTCACCTATGAGAGTATGACAGTGATCAAGGCCCAAACACAATACCCGGAAGAGCTGGATTTGCATTCTCTGAATATTCTATGGTTCCTCATCCCCCTGGCTATTTCTACATGCTATAATTATTATATAGTGATCCATATTCTTCTTTTTTTTTTACTTCTATGTTTACATTGGTGTTTATTGGGAGAAATGCTACTAAATATTATAGCAGCTTTTAAAAATTTTTTCTAAGATGTAAAAATATCTTAAATGGAGAACTGTTTCCAATTTACCTATTTGACCTAAAGTGTACTATCGCCCTGTCTCCATTTCTCCGCAATGTCCAGTTTTGTGATTCGTCCCAACTAGTAAACGTAAATCTGTAAATTTGTGTTATTTTAATCCTAGCCTGTCTGTTTAAACTAGATACACGTCCACAGATGCAGATTTGACCCGAGCTATAAAAAGACGTGAAGCCAGAGGCTCGATAGTGGGAAAGCTGTGCGTCCTCCTGGAGCAGTTGAAAGGGATAAAGTTTATCAGCTGGGAATTTAACTTCACATCATCACCATAAGTCTACGCACAATGAGATCAAACTGTGAGAAATGCTACAAGTGGTTTTCAAGGAAGCTACGTGATTAAATAGCATGCATCTGTTCCAGCAGACTCTCCACTCAACATCAGATGTGGAGCCAAGAACCCACACTCTATCATATCCTATTACACAGATACACCGTGGCGTAAAAAGCTGCGTTTTCTGTTAAACCATGTTACTCCCTCCAGGCCTTTAGTCTTCTTTTGAAATCACACGTCATCAAAATGTATGGGTTGACGATGCTTAACTTAAAAGGCCTGAATAAAAACGTTTACATACATTGGCCTCACTTTAATAAGCTTTTTTTTGTTTGTTTTTTTATTGTAAATGTTTTGAGTATTTTTGTATACTATATTATATATCATGTGTTTGTGTATCTGCATATATTTTTGATATAATGTACATATTTGCAGTAGAATTGGCTCATTTTAATTTATACTTTTTCAGTGAGTGGAGTTTTTTGTTTTTTTTCCTACATCGTGAGGCAAATGCACATAGTACCAGTTAAAGTAAGAAAAAGGTATTAACAAGTTACCGCAGGGGACAAATACTCAATATACATGTTTAAAGCAAGGGGGGGGGAGGAGAGGGCAGCTCTGCCGGGCACCTCATACGATGTGACCAGAGGGGCTTCTGACAGTGTTGTATGCCTTTGGAGAGGCGTATGGGAGTTGACAATGATTTCTGGCTATATGTTGGGCCGGTTGTACATCCTGCTGCTCCAGGGGTCGGACGTGCAATGTTTTAATGCTGGTGAGTGAAGTTTTAATTAGCACCACTTTCTCAGAACGGTATATCACTGTTAAGTGAATCTGTGCCTTATTCTATTTCACTTTCCTTATCACACACAACGCACACCACTTTACTTGATTTTATTATGTTATTACCTCATGTTCACCTCATATCCATGTTTTTTATTTTTCAGTGGACATTGCCACAATATGTCTGCCATGAGTTTATAAAGTAGATCCAATCATTCTTTTTGGTGACTGAAAATGCTCTCTGGAACTAAACTAACTTTTCCTGCAAACCCCTTGTGATTGGAGCGTATTAAAGAGGAGAAAAGTCACTAATTATAAAGATATAATTAATGAATTGCTTTAATTTCAATGTAAGTCGAGAGGAATATTTCATCTCATTAAAGTGGTTATAGTGCTTGGAGTTACCTGGCGCTGTGCCTTCTTTCCGTGTTAAACCGTTTTCAAGCAGTTTAAGACTGAATGAGGGTCCCTGGCTGTTCAAAGACCGACCCCCACTGCAGGTATAACTGAAGCTGAAATTAAACGTCTCCTTAGTCGTCCAAAGTTATACCTGCAATAGGTGGCTGTAACTCTCAGCCAATCACAGCCACCCATTGCAGCTTGGGCTAATACTACCTTGTTTATCAATAAACCATTAAAAATGGTGTCTATTTTATCCTTGTTACAGCAGTTTTAAATGAAATCCCGAGGATAACGTTGTATCTGAAGTACAAAAAACAAACAAGAAATCGATGCTGCTAGTCTCAGTGCATACAAAGCTCCGAGATCAGCTGCATCCCCTGGATATATGTATAGTAGTATAGTTATTACTGTATATTGGCATAAAAAATGTATAATCTTATATTATTGAGACCTAAACATAATAAATAAACCAAGGTATATACAAGTGATACATATGCTAATATGCAAGCCAGAAATAGACACCAGGTAGGGAAACAATCCAAATCTGTATAAAGGTATGATACCCAATCCTAAATTTCAGCTTTATTAACAGGTGTATAGGCTACATAGGAAGGGATCCATCCCAAACCAATTCCCTAACACTGGGCTATCTCCAGATTAGCTCTAAATACTGCTCTGCCTTATCTAAAATCTGGGGCCTGACGAAGGTGCATTATATAAGGCACCGAAATGCACGTCTGCCTTTTTTCTTATTTTTTTTAGCCATGATTATTGGGCACTTGTGGATTGAACATTATGATTTTTATTTGATTTATTGATTTTTTTTATTTTCACTTATCTATCCTTTGCTTCTATGCCTGTCTAGTTAGATTACCAGGGAGAGAGGCTTTTAATTTACCTTGTCATTGTTTTAGACACTGCCTTTCTCACTATACACTGCATTCTCTCCCTATAATATATTATGGACAATACTCTTTCTTCTTAGTTCTGTCTGCAATTTAACCCTATATATGCTGATTTATGACTGAGGGATTGGGACTGTGCATAGATCCATATAGCACTTTATTATTCACAAGATGTGTCTCTTATTACTAGCACAGTACAGATTTTATAAAATAAGGCAGAGCAGTATTTAGAGCTAATCTGGAGATAGCCCAGTGTTAGGGAATTGGTTTGGGATGTAGCCTATACACCTGTTAATAAAGCTGAAATTTAGGATTGGGTATCATACCTTTATACGGATTTGGATTGTTTCCCTACATGGTGTCTATTTCTGGCTTGCATATTAGCATATGTATCACTTGTATATACTTTGGTTTATTTATTATGTTTAGGTCTCAATAATATAAGATTATACATTTTTTATGCCAATATGCAGTAATAACTATATTACTACATATATATCCAGGGGATGCAGCTGATCTCGGAGCTTTGTATGAGACTAGCAGCATTGATTTCTTGTTTGTTTTTTGTACTTTACATACATTGGGGTTAAGCTCCTTGAGACCCCTGGAGTCTCTCTGCAGTACTTAAGACATTGTGTTAGACCTGTCACTATCCCATCTTTTGGGTTAAGTGTATGGGTATATAACTATATTCTTATTTTTGTTTTCTTTTAACGTTGTATCTGGCAAGAAAAAACATACAGTGTCTTAATGCATGCAGAGTGCTTATGGCTTTACTACATGTTAAACATTTCTTCCACTGTCTAAAGAGGGGTTTCATTTTGATTCAGTATCAATAATAAAGACAGCCAGCAGGTGGCACCCATGAATCTGGTAACAGCAAGAGCTTTTTAACCCCTTCACCAACAAGTTTTTTTGTTGTTGTTTGTGTAATGTATAGGAGTATGTCACAGCAATAAAATTCACAGTACTATTCAATGTTTAGGAGTGTATCACAGAGCTCCACAGCAATAAAATAAACAGTAATATGCAATGTTTAGAACAATATTACAGAGCTCCACATCAAAACTCACAGTACTATTCAGTGTTTAGGAGTGTATCACAGAGCTCCACCTGAATAAAACTCACAGTACTATTTTTTAGAGTGGCACATTTATGGTCTTAAAGGCGCAGCACCCCTTTGTTTTGTTTTATGTGATAGTGTTTTAAGCTTTCACACAGTGTACGGTGCTGCTTGATTTATTGATTATTATTTATTGTTACTGAAATATTACCGACATTTTTACTTGAATTTTTTTTGTACAAGCGTGAGGTGTATGACAGCATGTTGTTGTGGGGTGGCAGTGTGAGGGAAGTGTTTTGGAGGGTGTGGGAGACAGTGTGAGGGAGGGTGACGCTGTTTGGAGGGCAGTGCGTTGGGAGGTGACAGTTTGGGGGGCCGTGTTTGAGTTTGAAAGTATGGGGTGCAATGTGTGGGAGGGTGACAGTGTGGGGATGCACTCTGTGGAAGGTGACAATGTGTGTGTGTGTGTGACAGTTGTGAAATACCTTTTAATTGATTCCCTGGTTGTATAGAGTCCTCCCTGGTGGTCCAGTGTGCTAGCTCTCCTGTTTGAAGTGGACAGTCACAGTCTGCAGCACCTGGCGGAACTGTAGACAGGAGGGGCAGGCTCTCTCCCTCTACGGGCAGACTGTCAGGAGGAGAAGACCCGACACATCAGTGCACCATAAGGCAGAGGATCACCTATTTTCTGTCCCCGGCGGATCCTCCAATGATAAGGGATAATTTACCCATTGCTGTGTGTTATATATGTTGTATGTGAGACAGAACATATTGTCTGTTCTATAATATCTATAATGTATACTCTGCTGTTAATTATATAGTAAACTTGGGCATGGTGGAAACATTTGGTTTGGTTAAACGACTTCATCTCAAATTGATAAAAAGCTATTTAGCATGGCAGAATATTGTCCATTTGGTGGTTTGTCTTGGGCGAATTTCATATATGAAAAAGATTCAAGAAAATGAATCAGACAAACCCGAGAGATGTGAAAATGTGCCAATCAGTGTACTACAAATATTTACATTATATATATTTATATATAAATAAATACGCTGTCTTTTAAAGCACGAAAAGAAAATTACCAAAAATAAAAAAAAATATTTGGGACACCCGCATTGCGGCAGGATGTTGTTTTTTCATGTCAGCAGAATTTTGGAACTATATTAGAAGAACAAAAAAGGGTGCATAAATGAGTCAATCCGTGTACTACAAAATATATACATAATAGATGTGTGGTTGAACCACTGCCTGTTTGTTAGTTTTCCCTCTCTTTTACATGTATTCCCCCTGTATGTTCGCTTATTGTGCCCGCTTCCCGTTCGGGAGTGTTTCCACAAAGGAAATTAATTTGCCTCCCTAATGGGGACCACCCCAATTCCTCATTTAGAATGTTAGGATAGAATGTTCCCACCTTGCAACCTGAGTGTCAAAACCGCTAACAGAGACTAGTCAATCGAGGGACCACAGTAAGGGTCCCTGAGATTGGTGTGGGCACTTTTAGGGCACTGGTGGGCTCTCAGGAGCCTGAGGGACAAAGAGACCAGCTCTTTTCTCATAGGCGGGCTTTTCTGTGTCTGGGAGGCAAAGGCACAGAGCCTCTTGGGAAGAAGACCCCTGGTAGTTGGTGTGCAAAACCCTGGCTTTGGAGACAAAGAGAGCAGCGTCCCTACCCGCGCTGGGCCCCCAGGGAAAGGGAGGATCTTGGGATGAGTCTTGGCATGTTTGTATGGTAAACCCCTTGAATGGGATTATGCATAAAAGCCGTGTGTCGCCAAAAAAAATGTGTTGTACATCCAGGACTGTGTGTCGTCCAGTTAGTGGGGGGGTTGAAAATGGGTCTCTTTATGCCCTAACTGGTTACCGGCCGGATGAAGGAAGGAAATAGTCCTAATTGGCCAAGATTTGGATGGACTACAATTTGGGATGAACTGAATCTCCAAGTCTGTTATGCATGCGGTATTGTATTCCCTGTTGTATTTAAATTTTAATTACTGAATTGTGGTTGCTTTTGATAAATTCCATTTACTGAACAATTTGCAGAATTAACTAAAAATATACACAAACAGATTAATGGCTATCTGTACCGCAATCTATGGTAACATCCAGATATAGAACGCGATATATTCAGATTGTATGTTATTTGTGGAATGTATCTCATTTTGTGTTCTTAAATGAATAATTCATTCCTATATTATTACACATAGAATCACATATTGCTTTGCCCCTGCAGTTTGCTCTCTATATATGATAATGTGCCCCCTACTGTAAGGACTTGTAAAGGGCGAAGGGTCAGGATTTCCCCCATCATGTCACTGTTTGCAGAGAAAGGTTCGTAGTGTTATTGGCTTTTGAAAATCACTGCAGTTATAAGCAGAAGAATAGATAGTGACAGAGCCACTCTCATCATACACCGTCATGTAACATACATGGATACAGTACTTGGAATGTATCCCTTCACAAGCTACCCCCTGTTGTTACACATTAACTGGCTCTCGGTCAGGCCTGGTCTCACCTATTCTCTGCTAGGTGGGAGTGCATTCTTGTATTTGAATTTTTTTATCAGTAAGTGTCTCTGCATGGCCTCTCACTACCCTAAATAGCCACAATCTGGATTTCTGACATTTTGAGTATTCCGAATATGCCCCATTTTTCCACAGCTGTAAACATACTGCAGTGCTTTCAATACAGCCTTACCCACCACCGGCTGTTCAACTCCATTTTCAGAGTGAGTCAATAGTGCTTCACATTGTCCATGGATTCTCAATACAAACAGTAATCATTGTCTATTACTCTGGCCTTAACGGTTGCTATATTTATAATCAGCACAATATTTTCAGTTTAATTACTTCAATGTTCAACAGATTATCTCCTTATGCTGAGTTTTTTTTTTTTTTTTATTAATATCACTATTCATGGATAATTCCTCCTTGTTCTCCATTTCAAAAACAAAAAGTTAACGTTAATGCTCTAATTTACACAAAACACCTAAGGTTAAAGTGTTCCCTAGAGACACTCAGAATAAAATAGTAATAAAGAACAGAACCGAAGGAGAGAGTTGTGCAATTCACCAAGTGATAGTAATAAATAGTACAACCTTTGAAATAGTATGTATTACCATAAACACTGTATATCAGTATAATGGCTGGTAGAATCTACCTTGAGTGCACATCTATTAGAGAAAAATATAAAACATAGTGTAGTACAATTAACATAAGTGGGGGGTGGTAGAGAACTCACAAGATATAGATGAATTCAGGCATATTTCCCTTATCAATAGGGTAATGATGAAAAGATAGAAGACCTCTGGCAATGGAATTCTTGGTGTGTAGGAGGA